GAGAGGAGTAAAGTAAGCCATCTTTGTGAAGAAAAACCGTCCACCGTTAAACAGAGGTGGAGGTCTTCGTGTCCAATTGTCTTCCGCCCACAATGCTGTCATTGCAAGTATGACTGTGAGCAATAGGTGTGAATCAGGGCCCCAATGATACCAACACAATGAGGGAGAGAGGGACAAAAACAAGGGGACGTCGAACCCCGCTTGCATTCACTACATTCACATAACACGACACGGATCAGGTGATGGGGCACATGACCCTCTATGAACAATAGAGCCAATCAGGCCTATTGTTAGTCGATGGCCCTCTTTTGCATTTGACTAACCTCTTTGTCCATGTGGAGGCAGTGCTTTTAAGGCTGAGTTCACCTGAAACTCATCAGACTGAAGAAGTCTCTTGAAGGAGAGATGAAACGTTTCACTAAAGAACAGCCCATCCAAAGGACCTACTTATTTTTTTTCTTTTAGACATAAATTTCAATATTATTTTGAGATTTACTTTTGCCAAATATCCTACATTCTGAGTCACACAAATGGTTACTGAAGCTAAAATATTTAATACAAATATTTAGTCACAATTCTACTGAGCCCTCGAGGGGACACTGGGAGACATWTACAGTATATACTTTTTGTTGTTCTGCTCTCAGAGGAGTAAGATGCTTCTTCCTTCTATCCTGCCCTTCCTTATCTTCCCTGCTTTGCTGCTTGGAGCCTTCTCTACATTTTTCATCCATCCGAAACCAGAAATTATGGATATTCTTATTTTTCTGGACTTGGTTAGCTGGTCTCTCAATAAAACTTTTGGAACAAAATTTTTTCTTCTTCCTTGGGAGGACATGTCAAAGGTGGGACCTCTGTTCTGCTCTGTTCTGGATATACTGTATATCTGGACTCCGATCACTGGATTCTACAGATTGGCTTGGTGATCTCCTGGTGTTCTACGAAACAGCGTCGGTGGCTTTTCATCTCCTGGCTGACTGACCAATTTGATGGATGGCCGTATTCTATCAGCACTCGGACATTTGCCTTGAGCGAGCTGGACTTGGTCTGCAAGCGGTTCTATTGAGGGCTGCAGGCCGGCTGTGGTCCCTGGACTTTGCTGGCCAGATGAAATTTTTTTTTTTTTTCATAAACACCAAAGTGTGTCACAATGTTGATATAACATGATGTTTTTGCTTTTTTCCCCATCTTTCCCTTGTGTGGTTTTTAGTTTTTCTGTTGTTCTGTTTGTCTAAAGGTAGTGCAACTGCGTTTGCTGCATGACCTGTCTTAACTGCCCCCTCTCCCCTTCCCTGAATGTACAGCACCATGTGAATTTATTTCTGTGAAAGGTGCTATGATGAAGATTTCATTTTTCGTATGATCTGGCACCTGCTCACAGTGCCAAAACCACTGGTGAATGGTTTACTGACCATGGTATTACTGTGCTCAATTGGTCTGCCAACTCTCCTGACCTGAACCCCAGAGAGAATCTGTGGGATATTGTGAAGAGAAAGTT